ATCAGTCAGTCAAGCATTATAATATGATATTATGATAATCAAGTATTATTTAATGATAGAACTTTAGTAATTAGAATAAAAATTTGGTAACCATGTATGAATGCATAGACATTTTAATTGAATTTAGGATTGGTGGTGGTGCTTTTTTGGTCATTCAGTGTTTCTGTAAAAAAAAAAAATGGGAAAAAACTAACAATAAAACTGGTAAGATAATAATAAGACAAATTCTACTAATAAGAACAGTATAAAACGCACTAAGGATTAACAAGCTGCTGGATTAATGAATATTAATCAGGTTGTGTGCGTTCGATCAAACTGATTTACTGAAATCAAAACAGGGATGACAATAGGTGAGCACCAGCCAATGAGATTGCCATTTGCGCATTATTTCCGGCCACTACCGGAAAACCCGGCAGTTCTTAAAAGCTGAAGAATTCCAAAGGAACGCCGTTATTTTGACAGGAAAATACAACAAAGAATATCGTTTACATGTAGCGCGTCAATTCTGCATGTATGTAAGACTCTATCACTCTTTCTGCTCTCACCAAAGCGACGGTGAGTCATGCACCGTTACACTAGAGTTCACGGTACGTCAAACACAGGTTCGCTGCGCATCCATTGAGATGAACTGAAAAATAGCACAGATCGCTTGACGGAGAGTGAAACTCTGAAGCTCTCAGTCTTGAGAGTGTTCGGCGAGTGAAAATATATCTGTGCTAAACTTATACTTAGCCTCTAACTCACACACTGGCGAGTAAAATCTGAGAATTTATTAGCCATTGGCTAATATTAGACATCATTTAGTCACCCAGAGTGAAGATTTAGTCGCATATGCGAGTGATTTACTCGCAATGTAGAGGGTTGGAGCATATCACACAATAATGACTATTGCATCATGTATTTATATATTTAATTTTTTTGGATTGAATGTGTGTTTTAGGGAACACAACACTGCTAGCTCTCAGGAAAACACTACCCCCAGCCTTCTGTCTCCTGCTGCCCCACCTTCCCGCTCACCTGCCCTGCAGCCCTCCAGTGACCTCAGCCTCCATCTCAACAACAGCAATGGCACCTGTGCCACTCCTGGACCCCCAACACCCACACCACCAGGCTACCTGACGCCCGGCCGCATTGGGCCCTCCCAGCAGGTCAGCAGCCCCTCTGCACTTGGCAGCCCTCTCACTGCCACCCCTACCTCATTCATGTCGCCTCGACCTCCACGGGGCAGCCCAGGCCTGGCCAGCAGCCCACGCGCGCCCGGCCATCCTTTTTCCCCCTCGGCGCCCGGCATCCACTCGCCCGCTGGCGGACTGACCAGGCAGCAGTCTGGCGGCGACAGTGTCAGTTTCTCTCTCCCCTCTCCCTTACCCCCCAGACAGACTCCGACCCCCAGCAGCTCCCCAGCACGTCAGCCCCCGGCCAAACCGCCGGAAGCGTCCGCTGATGAGCCTAAAGCTGCTGCGGTGTGCAACCTCAAACTTAACCAGCTCTTGGACGGTGCCCCTGAACATGACTCCCAACCCCGTCCTGCACCCATGGCCCAGTGTCCGGCTTCTCACAGCAGTCTGACTGAGCGGCATAAGATTCTGCACCGCCTGCTCCAGGACAGCAACCCTGCAGATGCAGGCAAGGAGCACGACATTAAGAACGAGCCTCCGACAAGTCCCAACGCAGCCTTGGTGGCACGGGGACTTGGGAAGGAAACCCAGGACCACCAGCTGCTACGGTTTCTGCTGGATACGGATGAAAAGGACTTGGAGGACTTGCCGCCTCCGGCCGTCCTCAGCCTCCATACTGTCAAGGTAAGGGCAGAGAAGAAAGGGAGCAGAGAGAATGTGCTCTGTGCTGCTGCTGCCGCCACCACCGTGTCTGCAGTCACTTGCCCGCCTCAATCCAGTGACAACCCCAGCCCGGTATTTACATCCTTATTTCATTATTTGTACTTAATGAATGAATCTAAGTACATTATGGAAAAATATTTTTAAGCATTTTTTCTATGTGCATGTTACTGTCTTACTTAACGTACTTTTCACTCCTGAAAATCTGACCATTAATAGGATGTTTGGCCGATGGAAGAAAAGTCTATTTTGACAATTTACTGCTTCTCACTATTAATCTCAGCAGCAAATTTACTTTTTATTTCTATAACTGGTAATGAGAATGAGGTGAAAAATGCACATCATCACAATACTTAAACAATTTTAATGAAAAAATACTGAAAAAAGCATAAAGAATTCACTGCATTGTATTGCAACAGTGTACTTATATTGTTGTTTCAGAAGCTCAGGTTTTTACAGCAAGGTCAGTTTGCAGATGTATTTGTTGGATGTTGATACATGATTTAAGTTAATATTAAAAATGTTTGATATAATTTTGCATATTTTAATCAATTATGTGGGCAAATATCTTTTATTTTATTATATTGCTTTATGTGGGCAAATATCAATATTGAATAGTATAATTGCTCACAGTACCCTGAACTTTTTCAAATTTCCAAAACTCCAAAACTGGTAGTTCACTGCATTGCGACAAACTTTTCTCACCTTTGAGGCTGGACATGCCCATATCTCATCATTCATGTCACAGGAAATATCTGTCTTTCATGAAAATAAATTCCAGCTTTAAACCAGCTTTAGCGTGAACTCTAGCATGAATATTAATAATATATTTTGTAGGGATGCACCGAAATGAAAGTTCTGGACCGAAACCGAAAATTCGTTGTAATACTTATTTATTTTATTAAATAATATAAAGTCATTTTGTAAGACTTTTTAATTTAAATCAACAATTTTACTGATACTGAATTTAAAGAAACTTAGCCAATAAAATAACCACACTTTTATTGAAATTAACGCAATAAAATCGGGACAGAAAATATATTAACATTAAATATTAAATATATTTCTCTTTCGGCCAATAATTTTCGGCAGCCAAATTTCAGTGCATCACTAATATTTTGTAGGCCTTACTCTTGCTGCGTTTACTCATGAGCTGATTTAAGGGAGTCACGTGTGGACTTTGTCTTTCTTGTGCTCTGGTGTGCCTTTTGATGTTGATGACCTTTGCTATCATTTCCATTCCACCTCTGTGTGTGTTTACATGAGTAGCAGTTTCCCAGTACTGATCTGGACACTTTGAACCAGCTCTTGCCCACTTTGAGAAGCTCTGTGGGAGGTAAAGCAGTAGAGGAGCCAGTGCTCGTCCAGCCCAGTGAGGACAACTTTTCCATCGGGTTGAATGTGAAGAGAGAGTCACCAGGAACATCAAGCAGAGGCGAGGCCCATTTCACTGGAGTAATAATACAATTCATAATATTTCATTTATCTTAAGTCCTCAATAACTGCTTTTTCCTCCTCCATCTCTCTGTAGCATTCCCTGATGGATCAAACCTCTCAAATCAGTCCTCTTTTGAGTTCTGCGACCCCTCTACACCAAACCAGGGTCAGGTCCAGGTGCCGGATCTTGGGCAGATAGACCCGTTTCAGTCACCCAAGGAGAGCAGCAGCCCCTTTGCCAATCCAACCAGCCTCAACTCTTTCAACACCAACACAGGTGCAGGATTGAATGCGTCACCATGTTTGAAAACAGAAACAGTTTGATTAGTTAACCAAGGGGAGAAGTAAGACTTTTTTTTGTCTCCTTTGATTCAGGTCTGGCCAAGCTGGAGCTTCCTGAGTCTCAGCAGTTCCAGCCCTTGTCCCTGGTTGAACCAATGACCTTCGATAACAATTTGGGCAACCAGACACAGGCCCCTCTGTCCTCTCCTCAAGAGTGAGTGTTTATGAATGTCATACTATAATTCTTGATCATAATCAGGCTACAGAAAGGAACAAAAAAAATTTGATTAATATAACTAATTATTGTATTTATCTAACTATTTACATTTACATTTAGTCATTTAGCAGACGCTTTTATCCAAAGCGACTTACCAATGAGGACAATGGAAGCAATCAAAATCAGCAAGAGAGCAATGATATGCAAGTGCTATAACAAGTCTCAGTTAGCTTAACGCAGTACACGTAGCAAGTTTTTTTTATTATGTTTTATTATTTAATAAATAAAAAGAAAACAGATAGAATAGAAAAAGAATAGAGCAAGCTAGTGTTAGAGGCCTTTTTTGCTTTTGTTAATTGTATAATAAATAAAAAGAAAACAAATAGATAGAATACAAAAAGATTAGAGAAGCTAGTGTTTTTTTTTTTTTTTAAGAAAACATGCAGTTAGTAAATGAATAGAGTGCAAGTCTAAAAGGGGCAAGTTTTTTTAAAGAATATAATTAGAATAGAGAGTGCTAGAGTTAGAGGGTCAAATAAAGATGGAAGAGATGTGTTTTTAGCCTATTCTTGAAGATGAAATAAATAAACTATTTATTTAGATTTTATTGCAACCTCTTGTTTCTGTCCATTTTTTACATGTATTGTATACCCTAGCTATTTTTTATTGGTGTTGTTAACTACTAAAAGAAAGATTGTAAAATTATACAAATTATCTAAAAATACCAACATTTCCTTCAAATTTGTGTGGTGGAGTTGGTGCTGTGTATTATGATTGACACCAGAAAATTTAATCATATATATATTTTTTTAAAGTTAAAAATATAACTATAACAAATATTTTAAAAGCCTCACCAGAGCTTGTGTGACTTTGTCGAAACTCATAAAAAGGTGAAAGTAAATATAAATGTTTAACTACATTAAGTAGCAGTGTTATTTTAGTAATATTTTTGTGCTATTGTGGTATTTATTAATATTTTTAATTGGCCTTTATTTTAATATAAAAAAAATATTTTAAATTTAAGTTTTAGTCATTTTGTTATGTGCCTGTATTGTATTTATTAATTTGTTTTTGTTAAATATTTCCGTTTAGCTTTATTTTTGTTTTAGTTTTACATTTGTGTTTACATGTGTTGAGAACATTCAAGTAAATTACCTCTGATTAATATCTATGTTTAATTGTTATTTTAAAAACTATTAGCAGGTGCAGTGTTTTGTCTCATCTCTCAAGAATCGATAGAAATATTTATATTTCCACTCACAATTACTGCTATAAACATATCTTAGTCACAGGGAAGCAGATGTGCACTTTCGCCCAAATTCTACTTACCTGCCAAATCAGTTAACCATGCAATATGACAGAACTGTCAGCCGCTTACCAAAAGTTCCTTTCTTCCCATCATGATCTGGGGCCAGTTGCATAAACTTATCCTCTATATTAAGACAGTGTCTGAAGAACTAGTCTGACCAACAAGCAGTTAGCCAAGGGGTATTCAGTCTTATATTTTGGATTCAAATTAGACTAATCCAAGTTTTTATGTAACTGAATTTGAAAAATTGACAAGCCTTAAAGAAAAATTAGATGACTAACTATTAAGACTAGTCTAAACCTTTTATGCAACCAGCCACAGAATCATAGACTGCCTCTGTCGTTTTTATTTTTTCCTATGCTCTAAGCAGGCAGTGTGTTCCATGTCCGCTGGATGAGATGCTGTGTCCACCCACCACACCTGAGGGCTGTAACGACGAGAAGGCCCTGCTGGAGCAGCTCGTCACTTTCTTGAGCCGCACTGACGAGAGTGAGTTGGCCGAGCTGGACAGAGCGTTGGGCATCGACAAGATTGTTCAAGTTAGTATTATTAGAAAAACATTCTTCTCATATCTTTTACATTTACAAGAAAAGTGTGTCTAAAGGTTGACCGGTTTACTGCCTCACCTACAGTGTGGATGCCTCGAACCTGTCACCCAGACCTTTCCTCAGTCTCAGCCTCCAACACCTGTACCCATGGACCCCAAGCTGCCCAGCTACCCCTCTCAGTTCCCCACCTCACCCTCACAGTTTCCTGCTGAGATGGGCACAGCACAGGGCATGAGTTTCGGGGCCCCACGGATGGCGTTTCCAGGCAACGTGGGCATGACGGTGCGGCCCGGCATGAATCGAGCTCCTGGTGTGCCCAACCAGCTGAGACTCCAGCTCCAGCAACGTTTGCAAGGCCCACAGCAGGTAGAGCTTCAGCTTTCACTTCATTGTGTAATAATAAATGTGAACGCACAACTTCTAAATCCCCCTTTTGGATTTTCTTGCACTGTGTAACAGATCCAGTGAATGCTTTTGATTTCACCCTTTCAAGTAACATGCTGTGGAACTAACCTATTCTTTTGTCGAGTGCAGCTGCTGAGTGAACGTGTGATTAGTTGCACTTGTTTAGTGGTGATATATCTCATCTCTCCATCAGCTCCAGAACAGACTTGCGGCCATGGGTCAGTTCCCACAAGGGGGGCATGTTGCCATGGGGATACGTCATGGCATGCAGCAGCCTCAGATGCCCTCTCAGGTTAGTGTCACATGCACCAAGACGAATAATGAATGTCATTTGTAGGGGTGCAAGCATTTGCTCTGACAAAATTTTATTAAGATTGTTTATCTCAGATTTGAATCTTGGTTACAATTCAGTTTGATTTGATTAGTTTTGGTACGGTTCATAATTATTTATTTTGTTTTTATATACAGTATATATATATATATGTATATATATATACTGACGATGCAATCATTGCTTATTGTTTGTTTGTTTTTCTTGTTTTATTTTATTTCAAAGCTAAATTATACATATGTTTACATGTAAAATTTTATTATATATAGTTTATACATTTATATTTTTTATATTTTTATCAAATTCTAAATTATATTATTATTGTAAATAAGCTAGTATTATTTATTAATACATTTATTTGTATGTGCGTGTCTGTGTGTGTGTATATATATATATATATATATATAGAGAGAGAGAGGGAGGAACATAATAGGTAAAATGGATAGAAAAATATTAATGCGTCTTTTTTGATATATTGTTTGTTGATATATTTGTAATAACTTAAATTATACAAATCATCATTATTATTATTATAAATATGATAATATATCATTTTGATTATTAGTTTTTAATTAAATTATTATACAGATTTATTTATTAAATATATAATTTTCCAAACATATTTATGTATTAATACAAAAGCTGAGCTTTGGGACATGGGTAGAAAAATAATACTACTAGTATTTTTTATATTATATATATATATATATTTACAAGATTTACAAGATCGATGCATTTTTTATGAAAATCTAAAATTATTAATATTAATATTATTATAATTTTTGTAGTTGTACAGAAAACATTTTCATTGTCATTGATGCATCTGTGCATTTTTACTTTCACAATCATTGTTTGTTTTTCTGTATGTGTCTGTCAATGAAACTGAAATCCCGTCTTCTCTCTCACAGCCTCCACTCAACGCTCAAATGATGGCCCAGCGGCAGCGGGAGCTTTATAGTTTCCAGCACCGCCAGCGGCAGCTTATGCAGCAGAAGGTATTGCTGATGAGGCAGGGGATGAACACAGGACCTCTCGGGGCTCAGCGAGTTCCTAAGGGCCCCCAGCAGCAACAGCCACCACAGCAGCAGCAGTTCGGGTTTTCTCCAGGCTATAACGCCGTGCCTGGGAACACCCCTACCTCTCCGAGCCATTTTAACCCCATGGTAGGACCTCTGGACCCCAAGCTACCTACCAGGGGGGGCATGGGAAACCAAGGCATTATGGGAGGCATTCAAGGGCAATTTGGGGGGCCTGTGAACACTCCTGTTCAGCAGGGACTTTTCCAGCAGTTTGGGGGGTCTGGTATGTCTCATTTGTAAGCTACTCATTTATCATCACCCGGGTTATTATATCAAACTAAAACTAAAACCATAAAATAAAATTGAACTGAAATAAATATTTTAAAATGTAGACTTATATTATTTCGGATAAGCAACATTTCTCTTTTTTATTTAGTTTACTTGATGTACTAAATTAACTAAAGCTGAAGTAAAAATGAGTGAAAACTATGTAGACATAAAAAAAAAATTTTAATGACAAAAAAGATAAATGGAAAATATAAAAATGCAATTAAAAATAATTACAACTTTTAATGCTTCTGTCATGATGCCTAAAAGAGCCAATGTACAACTCTCTCACAGGCATGATTCAGCAAGCAGATCCATCCTTTGCTCCTGAGCTTAGTCCAACCAGCCCCCTGCTTTCACCTCAGAACTCCACCTCCCAGAGTCCTCTGCTCCAGCAAGTGCAGCCTCCACCTGGTTATCAGTCACCTGACATAAAGAATTGGCAGCAAGGGGCCATGGGCAACAACAGGTATGGTGTTTGATAGCAATCACCAAAAGTTCACAAAACTATGCAATTTGTTTTTTCTGTTGTTGTGTTTATGTGTATTCATCTTCATTTAAACCATTTCATCTTGTTTTGTGTCAGTATGTATAACCAGGCAGGCCAGCCTGTCTCTCAGAGCTTTGGGCAGCAAGGCGTGTATAACAACATGAGCATCACCGTGTCAATGGCTGGAGGGTCAGGAGCGGTGAGCACTCTACCTCCTATTGGACCATCGGTCGGCATGGGCAACAATAACCTTGGCAACGTCACTTCAATGTGTAACGATCAGGTAAGATGGTCATTGGTTATTTATTGAGTCTTCATTTACTCACCCTCATACCATTTTTAAATCTGTGTATTGTGTAACTATTTTTTCCTTCTGTGGAAAAGAGTAAAGAAATATGTTTCGTTTTTTTGTTTGTTTTTTGTTTTTATTGAAGCTTGAAAGTTTCAGTCCCCATTCATTGTAATTGCACAATTTTGGTTAAACTACACTACCAGTGTTATTTTAGAATAATTTATATACTATTATAGTTTTTGTTCATATTTTGAATTTGATTTTAGATTTCTGTATATTTTCTGCTATTATTTTAAGTTTAAAAAAAAAAAAATCTTTTTTTCAAGTTTTCATCATTTTTAAATATGTCTTGATAGTTTTTACTAAGTTTATTTTTAGTTTATTTAGAAATGTTGGCAACAAGTTGAAGTAAAATGTTAAAGTAAAAGTTTATTTGTATATTTTATTTTATTTCACTTCATGTTTATTTGTTCAAGTACTGAAAAGGTTAATGATAATAACTGTACACTACCATTCAAAAGTTTGGGATCTGGAAGACTTTTTTTAATATTTTAAAAAAATGCTAACTAAGGCTGCATTTATTTGATCAAAATTACAGTAAAACATAATATTGTGAAATATAATTACAATTTAACTAACAGTTTTTAACAGTATTTTAATATATTTTAAGATGTAATTTATTCCTGTAATTTCAAAAGCCATAAAAACAGCATTCAGTGTCACATGATCCTTCAGAAATCACTCTAATATGCTGATTTGGTGCTCAAAAAACATTTCTTATTATTATCATCAATGTTAGAAACTGTTGTGCTGCTTAATAATTTTTGTGAAAACCATGACACATTTTTTTTCAGGATCCTTTGATGACTAGAAAGTTAAAAAGACCAGCTTTTTTTTTTTTTTAATAATTAATATTCTAAATGTTAACTGTCATTTTGTTCAATTTAATGCATTCTTGCTGAATAAAAGTACATGCACAATCATACATTACGGTCTTTCCCTTTTCCATTCATTCCCATTTCTCAGGTACAGCAGGTTCAGGTGTTCGCTGATGTCCAGTGCACGGTAAACCTGGTGGGAAGTGACTCCTACCTTAACCAGTCGGGGCCCATCGGGTCCCAGAAGGGCCCGAGCGGGACCCCCACAGCCCAGTCTCAGCAGAAGAGCCTCCTCCAGCAGCTCCTGACCGAGTGAGTCGCCCACCGTCTGCCAGAGGACTGTCTCCACATGTAGAGATTTTTATTCTTCACCTTTGGTTTCTATACAGTATATCTGCAGGGTCGGTGTCTGGGCCCAGGCTTGTGAGGTTTCATAGCCGTTCGACAAAGTGCTCATTCCTGATCACCTTTTTAAACGTCTGTTTCCGGAAAGGAGAAAATATCACGTTCCAGAATTTGCCAAGTCTGTAAAAAAAAAAGAAAGAAAAGGACCTGCTGCTTCAGCCGGCTGCACGTCCTGTCGGTCAGGCCAACGTTGCAGTGCTTCTTGGAGAGCAGCGCAGCAGCTGAGCTTGGATTGGTCGAAATGGAAACTGGGGCTGGCTGTTGTCATGGTGTTGCTATATTCATGGTATATTGCTCAGTTTCAGCTGGATCTGTGACTGATAGGCTCTCCTCAGCAGTGCCTGATGATGGGAGGAATTTCCCACCTCTTTTTATTTGTTAATCTGTTTTGTTTGTTGTCATTTTTTTTATTTTGGTTTGTTTGTTTTTCTCTGTTGTCGTTTTCAGAACAAGCATCGCCAGGATGGGAGACTGCTCTGTAGTGCGTATCCGTCTGCCCGCAAGCTTTCCTGGCAGCACTGTTTTGAAACCGCAGACATTTTTTTAACAATGTCCTACACATTTCCCCCCTCAGCAGCTGTGAATACTCAGCCTATCAGTGTTGTTTGCGGCGACGTGTTGTGCAGGTTGGTATTATTGTACAGCACAAACGGACAAAGTTGGGACAAGCTCACACTTTGTAATTTCCTTTAAAAATGAAACCTCATCAAATTACAGGCAACTCTTGTTTCGAACGCATCAACTTAACACCAGTTCCTTTTTAACGACTTTGAGAATCTGTAATGTCACTTTGTTATTTAAAAAGTAATCATCCAGGGGGGTCTCGCGCGTTCTCATATATCAAGAGACTCAGATTTTTACGATTGATATTGGTTATCGAACACCCCGGTAAATGCTACAAACCCTCTGTTGCATTGCACGCAGGTGCGAAAATGTACATTGTACATTGATTTTCATTATACAGTTGAGTGTTTCAAGGATGCTCTTCAAAACCACAGGTGCTCCTTTCTGACTGGAGGAGCGAGGTGTTGTTTCACGCACCGTCGGCTGCATTCTCCAGCTCTTTGACTGCTCATGAGACTACTGTTGCCCAGTCAGACACTGTTCATCAGCGTTATCCTTTGTTCATTTACCTACTAGTCATCCCCGATTGATTTCGAACCTAAACATTCGCTAGTTTACGTGAAACGTACTAATTGAAAACCAAATTATTTTTTTAATCAAAGATATCAAAACAAAAAGACTTGCTGTGGTCGAAATTGATGTCTCACCGTGTGAGCACGAGGTATTTCACAAATCGTGCGACATAATTGGAGCACAGCTCGAAATCGTGTTGCATGCGTGACCGTCTCTCCTCTCACATATTTTCATTCTCCTTTAACAGTGTTCTTTTGTTCATGACACTATATAAAAATGTCTAATTTCGTAAAGCAGATTCTCATTCGTCTACGAAATTCAGCCGGCAGTATGTACTGTTGAGATCAAGCCACTTTCTGCTATATATAAATGTACATAGACATTACAAAAAGCGAGATGAATTGATGCATACATAACATTTAAGTCATTTAAGTCAGTCTGTGTTTTTTCCCGATTTTGGCTCACCGAAAAAACACAGATGTCGTAATTAATCAATTCTGCCCTCCTCTTTGGGGAACAGGCATTCCTGTATAGATAAAAATGTTTTTTATGCAGTGGATAAGAGTCATTTAATGAACCCTACCTGTCATCATGACCGTGTTTATGCCAAATATACCAAACTAGCAAACAGCACCTATTAATACTGTTTTTATTGTTTTGCTTTCTCGTTTATAACGGCTCTCACAGTCAGTACACAACATCAAGGTACAATAGAACTATTCAGAACCTGGATTATCAAAGTATTGTGTATATAACAGATAAATGTGAATATGTATCTGTTCAGAATCAACAAAATGTAGTGCTCCGAGTTTGTGGTAATAACTACTTGCTTCCATTTTTTTCTTTTTTTCTTTTTTCTTTTTTGGTTTTGTGATGTGCATGGCTGTCTGAAAGCGTGTATGTGTGTGATTAATACTGTATATCTGGTGTTTAAAATGGAAAAACAGACAAATGTCCTGATTTTGATTTTCTTTTTTTTCTTTCTATCTTTTTTTTTTTTGGAATACCTGCAACTTTTCCTGTGGGTGTTGAGATTGCTCTATATGTGAGAATGGTTTAGCGACTGCTGAATGTGACTTTGCTGAGGGAGAAGCAGCATGGACTGGCTTTTGTACGGGTTAATTTAAAAAAAAAAAAAAGGCCATATTATTTAATTTCTCTGTTGTCAAAGTTTAAACAGCTCTGACAAAGTGGAACCTTGGTTTGAGAACAGCACTGGCTTATTGTAATGGGGTTTCGTCAACTGCCTGATGTAGTTTTTGCCATGTGTAAACACTTTTAAGACAAGAACGGATATATGACCAAAGCTTCAAGATACTAAAAGATCCATATCATATGCAAGGTTCATGCAATTGGAAAATGTAGCATTGAGTTTTTCCTGAATAGGTGTCCCATATCCCGTCACGTTTATAACACTACCATTTTGTCTTTACTTTCTGGATATATTCCCCTAGCTGGTTTGATTACGTTCAAAGACGTTCAGTAGCGAGTTTCTTCAGATGTTCCCCCGTTGCTACTGATCTACCAAACATGCAAATGCCTCTTCGGGAGGCACTTTAGTCACTGTTTTCAGGAAGACAGATTTCTAACCGCTAGCTATGCACCTTTAGAGGTTAAATGAAAAGCATTTGGCTTTTGTTTTAAAACTGACAACTCAAAACGGATTATTGCTTTGAATGCAGTATTCTAGCATTGCATGCTAACAAATATCTCCTGTTTTTCCTCTATTTTGTTTTTTTAACTCAAGGGATATACATAATTTGTAGTTCGAAACAAGTGGTTTCAAGCTACTCGGGCAAAAAACGAGAAAACCATACTGATGCAACTATACTTAGATATTCGACTTTATTTAGCTGGATTCTTTATACCAAATTTGAGGTGCCTCTTGTACATATTTTCAGCATAGAGGACTGCTCCTCATCGTTTGATGAACGTTTTCTTGTTTATGGAGATTTTCTTATACTGACCTTTGTAAGACTTTTGCTGTATTTTACATGAAGTTTTTTACAAAAAACCTAAATGTACCAGGAACTTGCAAGGAATACAATCTAATTTTGCACTTTATACATGAATTACAAGGAAAGAGGCCATGTTTAAATCGGAATATAGCATCATGTTCTGGGAAGAAAGAAAAAAAGGAAGACAAAAAATGAATACCCCCTTGAATGTATTTTCGCAAAGTGAAATGCCATTTTGCTTTCCACGAAAAATCAAAACGTGTCTCAGGTTCTTCAGGAAGAACTTGGCTTGTCAGGCTCTCATCGTTGGATCCCTTAAAAGAGCAGGGTAGCGGAGCCTTTGCTACATGGGTGTTTTTTCTGCTGCAGAACCGTAGATCTAACTATGCCTATCTTCTTCAGGTGCTCCACCTCCCCTTTGCCCTGTCCTTTTAGTCGGCGCGCTCACGTTCAGACCTCCTGGCTTTTCCTTTTGAAGACATTCCTCATCGATCTCTGCTTTCTGTTCATCGCGGTCTGTATCGTAGGCTTTGAAAGTCGTTTCAGGCCCCGCACGCTCAGTGCCAAGTGCTAAGAACCATTTATGCAAACTTGTACAATCTGCATTTCCTCATATCATAGTAGTGAATCCTACGTATCGACCACCACACACTCTCCTTGTCATTCAGATGTCATCTCTACATGGTATCATCTACAGTAGCTACTGTTTACCTGAGATTTTTTGCATATTGTAAGTGCTGCCTTATTAATATACAGATATTAGTTGTATTGGTGAAGGGAAGTCATGTGTTTGTAGCTCCACTGAAACGGCGCTTGTTCTTTCAAGGCAAGGTTCCACTTTTCACCTGTAAAATTAATATAAATAAACAAATATATATAGATATATACATTTTACTCATTTTGTCCAGTTTTGTATAATACTTGTGAACTTTTTTTTTTCTTAAGAGGCATCATTGCAGCTGTGTGTGGGACATAATGAATGAAGATGTATCTGGGAGACTTCTGCATGTTTTGTCATGTTTTTGTTTTTTTGTTTTCTCTATGTCCAGGTTTATCTGGAGAATCCTACCTTTCTTAGGACGTTGTAGACAATCAGTCACATGCTGGGTCCAGCACCTGCGGGATTGTCCTGCGGGCTGCAAAACTGTGTTCCGCATCTACTGAATCAGTCTTATTTTTCTTGTCCATTTCATGGAATTATGTGGCTGCTCAAACTGAGATTTGAAGTTTACACATACATTTACACACACACACACACACACATTCAGACAAACAAGAAACACTCACTCACACCTCGTACATATGGCCCCTTTGTTGCTTTTCCAAGGTGTAGATACATACCTTGAAGGAAATTATGCTTTGACTAACAAATCTCTATAACATCCATGAATGTGAGAATGCAACACATTGCAATAAAGCACCATGTAAAAAAGGACTGCAAGTGCCATCTTTATATCTAGGGAATGGAATCTAAACTGTTCAATAACAGTTTTATTCATTATTATTTTGATGCAGTACAAAAAACTTGTGTATTTTTTTAACTATACTTTGTCATATGAACAACCAGTCAGATAGTTCTCACTAATCTTAAGAACAACATACTGCATTATCAGTTCTTGGTTAATTGAGTCTGACATTAATGATATAAGTAAGATTAATTGTAAAACTGATTAATAAGTGTAATTCACTAAAATGAACCGACTCGTAAGAGTCATTCATTCGAGAATCGAACTTCAGTGTTCACTATATCAGTGGTTCCCAACCCTGGTCCTGGAGGCACCCCAACACTGCACATTTTGCATGTCTCCTTTTTCTGACACACCAATTTCAGGTCTTGGAGTCTCTACTAATGAGCTGATGATCTGAATCAGTTGTGTTTGATTAAGGAGACATGCAAAACATGCAGTGTTGGGGTGTCTCCAGGACCAGGGTTGGGAACCACTGCACTACATAACTTTTTGATTGGACTAAAAAGACCGGGTCATAGAAGTCATTAACTCGAAAAATCGAACTTCATTAGTCACGATGTAACGTTAACGTTTTGATTCACTAAAAAGAACCGGGTCGTAAAACTCGTTCGTTCGAGAATCGAGCTTCACTGGTCGCGAACAGTGAAGCTCGATTCACTAAAAAGAGCGGCTCAAAAGAGTCATTCTAACTCTCACACCGCGCATATGAACCTTAACAAACCAATCCAGAATTACTAACCCACCAGCACATAAATCATAAGTCTTAGTTTAAACTATTAATTTGTTCAATTATACATATTTCAAAAGCCCTTCCAATGAGTCATCAGTACATTTTAAAAACATTTGGGATTATTTCAGATTCTATTGTAGACACTGATGAAATGTATTATCCAAAATGCAGAATAAAGACATTCAGTTTTTATTTCAGATATTAAAGAATTTACATTACTAACACCACTTGAGTGAGTGACATTTCGCCACAAAGATACAAGACAAAATGTGGATGAAAACCAAAGATGTGATGGTAAGGCTGTTCCAGCAGGTTCATTTAGCCACATTCCATTCTGAACAATCTTTGTGTTTATATTGTACAATTCATACAGAATTCATTTGAAAAGCTTAAGCTTTTTTAGAAATGGCTGCACAGTCTCTTTAGGGTAGGGCTTCAATGCCAGACATGTGGGGATATTCTCTGGCTGCTCCATCCATAGTTTATGTGCAATGTCTTTTTCTAGTAGAGTACTGGAAAGAGCGGAGAGAGATGCCTCATCTGGTGCCTGTGGGGGAAAATAATACTAAAGCTTAAAACTATAAAAAAAAAAAAAAAAAAAAAAAAAGAGTACATGCATATTTATTTAATTAAAATAAATCTGTCAATTATTCACTAATTTGTCACTTGTGAGTCAGCTAATGGCTTTATTAGTATTTGTTAACCATTAGAAAGATCAAAGATTACTATATAATGCTACCCATCCTATCCAGCACTGTAGGGACAGAATCGCATGGTGCATGTGATGTAATTGCAGTACTAACCTGCAGCACTACTTTGTGCATGCTGTCCAGTTCTGCCAGATATTCCTGAGTATCAGGGTCACTGTAGTGTAAATGAATGGCAGCAGTGGCCGCGTGACAGGCTTGAGTTATAACCGCCCCTAAAGGCCACGACAAAGTGTGTATCAGGTCTGATCGGACGATGACATACTGGACTAAACGCCGAGAGGAGCCACTACTCGGCATTGTCATTTTATTGAATGTGAAAATAGCCAGAGCGGAAATGACACAGCCAGCGGGTTCATGTTTACGTTCCGGGTGCATTTCCTTTCTGCTACATTTTTTTTGACTGGATGCCCTCTAGTGGTTGTTTGAGGACTCTAAATGCATATAACAATAAAGATGTTTTTACCTTTATCTCACTAGGTTTTCTGAAATATTCTGACATAAAATAAAGATTAATTTAGTCTTTTATGTAATATAGTTTTGTATACACAAACTTTTTTTCTCTGTAGTAAGAAAAACTGCTCTATTCGTTGTTCTCTTGACAGGTTTATTAGAAAGTTTGCTACTCACAAAATATTTACACAGTATATTTTAATAAATCTTTGTTCACATAGCACAGCCTTCCCTGCAGAAGAACATCTAAACAAGCCAAAGGTTTTCTGGTCTTAGTTGGTTGCCAAGGCTGGTCTTTTGACTAGACTTAGAGCGGTTTTGACCACTTTTCAACTGATTAGATCCAGGTTTATTATAGTTAAGTAAAACTAAAACCATAAAAATGTGTGAAAAGAAGACAACAACAACTGTCATATTTTTTTTTTTTTATAAATGATTGCTGTGCCATTTTATTTTTTCCAAGACATACAATGATCAAACAACTTAACCTGCAGTGTGTACCTGCATACAACTAAATTCATACCTAAAAAAAATGAGGACCGGAATGTTCAGCTCAAAAAACTATAGGGACAAAGTAATATTCTAGGTCCAACTCTTAAAATCTTCAAAATGAGCTGATGCCCATTGCTCGTCTCATTTGCTCAAATGTAAGCCAGAAAGTCAAAGACCAGGGAGCCTGGGAACAAAAACGGAGTTAGAATAGGAACACAAGCAATAAAACTTAAATAAACTCATGTCATATTTAAAGTCATAGTACCATTCTAAACCAAGTTGGTAGAAATCCTTTATAGAGGGAAAAAAATCCTTCTTTTCTCACCGACTGAACCAGACAGTCAGTAGAAGACTTGTAGAGAAGACCCCTGCAAACAGAATCATAAAAATATGTTATTATAACAAACTAAATCATTGTCTTAAATACACATCAGCTTTGAAAAATACACGAAACTAACCTCCCATTTGAATCCCGTGGCTGGTTCATTACTCTAGTTTTCACCACATCAGCTGGTGTTCCCATAATAGCTGCAACCAATCCTGAGCATATGCTGTAAAAATGTTTTGGAACAAACTGTTGAACATGACATTATTATGTGTGGCAACATTAGTAGAATAGCAAAATTTCACCTGGCCAATCCATGACAAATGCTGTTGTCTGGTATGGAGGTGTTTCTCAGTAGAAAATGCTTTACGGTATCGTATGTCATGAGATCTAAATGTGAAATAAAATGAAAAATATTTGACGTATAACAAAAGGGCAGCTGACAACTGATCTCTAGAAGTCTTGGCCACTGTACCTCCTAAATTGACCAGTGCAGCTCTCTGAACGTTGGGAACCCATCCAGCCCAAAGGCCTCGTATTCCTCCCTCTGCTACGATCTTCGTAAATGCGTGGTAAACCCCATGTACTCTGTCAGTTTAAAAAAACGGATGAATTAAGGGAATCGTTCACCCAAACATTTACTCACCCTCAGACCATCCAAGATGTAGATGAGTTTGTTTCTTTATCTGAACAGATTTGGAGAATTTTACCATTTCATCACTTGCTCACCAATATATCCTCTGCAGTGAATGGGTGCCGTCAGAAGGAGAGTCCAGAAAAATCCACAATTTATGTAAGTAAACCACAAGCTGCATGTTTGTAATAAACAAGTTCATCATTAAGACGTTTTTAACTTCAAACCATCGCTATGAGTCCTCTATCCATAATATTGCTTTCTCCTGTGAACATCGCTAAACAAATATTTCAGTAGATTTTGATGTAATAGGACAACAGGGGATGGACCTTTTCATCTGAGGAATTGTTATTATGGATTATAGACTCGTATTTTGGCCAGAAGCGATGATTTAAAACACCTTAATGGTGTATTTGTTTCTTATAAACGCAGCTTTTCACTAACAAGATGTTCATTGATTGACTAGAGTTGTGTGGATTACTATGATGTTTTTATCAGCGCTCATTCTGACGGCACCCATTCACTCCATTGGTGAGCAAGTGATGTAATTTCTCCAAATCTCTTCAGATGAAGAAACAAACTCTTCTACATCTTGGACGGCCTGAGGGTGAGAACATTTTCAGCAAATTAAAATTTTAGGGTGAACTATTCCTTTTAGCCTAAGTCTCACCTTGGCGGCTTCCCTTCTAGACGGCGCCTGCCCTCCATTTGCATCTGAACCTTCACTAGATCTGTTGGACTAGCGATGAACTGGCCCAAGGCACCTGATATCATACTGCCGATCACTGCTTTCCTATACACATCACAGAACATATGCTGATCCCATCTATTTAGACGTTAATTTTCATATTTCACAGATGTTTCCCTCACCAAACTGGAAAAACGCCATCTTCAGATCTTCCCAAGACAGATTCCCTGAGCTGTTCATAAGCTAACATCCTGCCGCCTGAATACACTAAAAGTGAGGAATTCCAAAGGTCAGAAGGGGATTCAAATACATGCATTGAATTATTCAGACAAGTGCATTAAGATTTTATTCTGTACATGCATATAACACAGTTTGTTAATAATGCTCATTGCAATTAACATTTTACCTATATGTCTGTAGATAGCTGGTGTGACCCCTTGCCACAATTTCAAGGGCCCCTCTTCTCGCACTATACCCAGAGCTGTGCTCAGCATGCCCCTGTATTTTGGAGGCTGTACATTTCCACCATGCTGTTGGGAACCGCCTTCACCCTGTATCTGAAGTCTGGTTTTGGTAAGGTCCAGAGGAAATGTGACTAAAATAAAAATTGTATAAAAACACACACACACACACACAGAAGTACACTCAAATTATTATTAAAATATACTGTATTGTAGATATTGATTTATATGAAACTTTTTTTTTTTAATTAAATGTATTCTTTTAAAAGCTAGAAAGGATGTGTAGCTACCTAATTCTGCAACAGTTGCAGCACTTGCTGACAGAGTGAACTTTGATACTCGGGGCCACCGCGAATTTTCTTGTACTGGAGACATTGCAGGTGTCCTCTGATTCCCACTGAAAAAAATATTTATGAATGTAATTCTAAAACGATTTCCCAAAAGAACCACGAGCCTGGAGTGTATGCTCAAGTGTTTACACTGTATAACACGGGACTACGACCTTTAATAAGAGGCGAAGCCGTGTTTTTAAAGCCATGCCGGTTGGTCGGTGTAGTTATCGACCCCCTTACGTAATACGTTGTAGACTACAAAAGAAGCGTCAGGCACCAAAAACCACATTTCCCACATTTCAAAGGGGCGTCGACAAACCAACTAAACTTGCCTAAGACCGTCATTTTCGTACGCATGCGCTTTTCGGCGGCATGAGAAATAATGTTTAAATAGCTAGAAAGAGCACATTCGCATTCTTTCTTTCTATTAGTGATGGGAAGTTCGGTTCTTTTCCGCGAACCGGTTCTTTCGGACAGTTCGATTCAATAAACCGGTTGAAACTATCCATCTATCTATCTATCTATCTATCTTTTTTACAATTTCATATATAGTCCTATCAATATTATATTAACGTTGAATTGTCCAATGCACAAAAATAATTTAGTTAGCTTGTTGGCTGCAAACCAAACATCACCGTAATAGTAGTAATCAGAAAAATAGTTTTATGTAGTGAATCTGATTTTGCTGCTTGCAAAATTCCACATTCACAGATGCAAATATTCAAACTCCAGACCTCTCTTTTTTGTTTTCATGAGAGAATTTGAGCAATACCTGATCCAATTGTCTAAGAAAAGCTTGAAAAACTTTAATATCTGTTTGTAACTCCATTCCTATCTTTAATGAAATGTCTCAAATTGTGTATTTTCAGTTTGCAATGTATTAAACACCCCATTTTTCTTTTTCTTTTTTATTGTCTATCATTTTTATTTGTTGATATTTGTATTGCTGTTTTTGAGCATTAATAAAAAAAAAATAGCAGTAATCAATAATAAATTACTGTTTACTGCCATCTGGTGTCTTGCAAATGAAATTTCATATATAGTTCCAACATTTATGGATGACAGCATTTTCATGGAATGTTGCAGTAAATATCGATTATATTAAAATAATAAATTAGTATTACTTGTAGGCTATTATTTACTCAACAAACGTATAATAATACAATTTTAATACAATTTGCAGAGGTTATAGTTTATTTGAATTGTCAAAACAAGCTATAGAACAAAGAGTTAGGCCTACATTATTAGAATTACAGATGTCGATTAAAGCAGCTGTTTAATCTGTTATGTCTACTTTTAATGTCAGTATCTTTTACACATGTAGCATCAATTGTCCAGGAACTCTTATAAATTATCTTTTTTTTTTAGATATGCCATCACTCAGCGGCATAGTATTAGGGCCTCTGCCATTACAAATGTATCCAAAAATTCACTTTAGGTTAACAAATTACTTTGTAACTAGTTTTAATCTAAAGAGGGAAGTTTAACGTGACGTCACACACACAAAGCCATCTATGGTAGTGCTTTCTCATTGCAATCAGCCTATAGTCAGCAGAGCGGCGGCACGAAACCACCACAAAGGTAAGTATGTTGAACATATATCTGCTTTGTAATATTTTTGATGTTAATGAATTATTTATCCGAATACATGTTTTTTCCCAGTGGAGTTATGGTTTAATAATCCAGAATCTGTATGCAAGCCTCTTTGATGCGGTGTGAATGGTTTTACGCACAAAAAGTGTTTGTTTGTTTATTTATTTATACTTTAGGGAATTCAATCTGTGTGGTGATAGAATTCAAATTATGTGTGATTCACAATGTGCTTAAATGCAATTTTTCACACATTTCTTTCACTTTCAGTGTACAGATTAGTACTTCCGCATTGCTTGCTCAAATGATAATCCTCGTGCTCCATGAAAGCCGTGCAGACTTTTACTAATTATGCCTCATTATGTTTAACCAACGGTATGGCATACTCAATTTGTGAATGTGTCATCGTTAACTATAATTACAGTACAGGTATTTCGTAAATCATCCCTTATTCCTATTAAACATAGAGTCTTAATTATGGTCCAACTTCCCTGACAACCCCCTTTGGCCTATAACCTAACAGAATCTTCAACTGAACAAAGTACACAGATTAGATACATTCATCTTTTTTAAAAAAGTAAAATAAAATATATTTATATTATCACACTTTCTGATGTTTAACAAAATACTTGGATAACACAGATCACACACGCTGTCGCTGAATCACGCATGCGCAGTATCATCAGCTCACCGGTTCTCAAATCGGACGTGTCCGAAAGAAACGGTTCTCGGTTCAGTGTACTGGTGGTCCGAAAACCGATGCAACCGGTTCTTGACTCGAGAACGAGAACCGCTCCAGCAGTGGGTGTGTACGTTCGTTATCCGGCTCGCTGCACACATGCTGCTCTGCTCGTGTTCATCTTCAGTTCTCTCTTCACAGCAGTTCAGTCAGTGTACTGTTTGAGTAAATTAATTACTCCTGGATATTGGTTTATTTCGACTCGGAGGGAGTGTCAGCCACGTTAAAAAAGTAAATAACTTAAGTAAATTGTGGATTAATGCTACCTGGAGACGCGAACCGTTTCAAACGATTCAGTCCGATTTGGTGAACTGGTTCAACCGGTTCACTAAGAAGAACCGGTTAAATTGAACGATTCGTTCGCGAACCGGTCATCACTACTTTCTATCTATCTATCTATCTATCTATCTATCTATCTATCCATCTATCTATCTATCTATCTATCTTTTTTACAATTTCATATATAGTCCTATCAATATTATATTAACGTTGAATTGTCCAATGCACAAAAATAATTTAGTTAGCTTGTTGGCTGCAAACCAAACATCACCGTAATAGTAGTAATCAGAAAAATAGTTTTATGTAGTGAATCTGATTTTGCTGCTTGCAAAATTCCACATTCACAGATGCAAATATTCAAACTCCAGACCTCTCTTTTTTGTTTTCATGAGAGAATTTGAGCAATACCTGATCCAATTGTCTAAGAAAAGCTTGAAAAACTTTAATATCTGTTTGTAACTCCATTCCTATCTTTAATGAAATGTCTCAAATTGTGTATTTTCAGTTTGCAATGTATTAAACACCCCATTTTTCTTTTTCTTTTTTATTGTCTATCATTTTTATTTGTTGATATTTGTATTGCTGTTTTTGAGCATTAATAAAAAAAAAATAGCAGTAATCAATAATAAATTACTGTTTACTGCCATCTGGTGTCTTGCAAATGAAATTTCATATATAGTTCCAACATTTATGGATGACAGCATTTTCATGGAATGTTGCAGTAAATATCGATTATATTAAAATAATAAATTAGTATTACTTGTAGGCTATTATTTACTCAACAAACGTATAATAATACAATTTTAATACAATTTGCAGAGGTTATAGTTTATTTGAATTGTCAAAACAAGCTATAGAACAAAGAGTTAGGCCTACATTATTAGAATTACAGATGTCGATTAAAGCAGCTGTTTAATCTGTTATGTCTACTTTTAATGTCAGTATCTTTTACACATGTAGCATCAATTGTCCAGGAACTCTTATAAATTATCTTTTTTTTTTAGATATGCCATCACTCAGCGGCATAGTATTAGGGCCTCTGCCATTACAAATGTATCCAAAAATTCACTTTAGGTTAACAAATTACTTTGTAACTAGTTTTAATCTAAAGAGGGAAGTTTAACGTGACGTCACACACACAAAGCCATCTATGGTAGTGCTTTCTCATTGCAATCAGCCTATAGTCAGCAGAGCGGCGGCACGAAACCACCACAAAGGTAAGTATGTTGAACATATATCTGCTTTGTAATATTTTTGATGTTAATGAATTATTTATCCGAATACATGTTTTTTCCCAGTGGAGTTATGGTTTAATAATCCAGAATCTGTATGCAAGCCTCTTTGATGCGGTGTGAATGGTTTTACGCACAAAAAGTGTTTGTTTGTTTATTTATTTATTTATACTTTAGGGAATTCAATCTGTGTGGTGATAGAATTCAAATTATGTGTGATTCACAATGTGCTTAAATGCAATTTTTCACACATTTCTTTCACTTTCAGTGTACAGATTAGTACTTCCGCATTGCTTGATCAAATGATAATCCTCGTGCTCCATGAAAGCCGTGCAGACTTTTACTAATTATGCCTCATTATGTTTAACCAACGGTATGGCATGCAGGCCACACGTATTATTTTCTCAATCAAAATTCAAGATGATAAGTAGTTATAATCTTTATATGGTCAGCCTACAATAAACCGGTGGGGTGCGGCGTTGCAATTCTCAACTCATCCAGAGAGGGCGCTAAATGAAGCGTGTAAAGAATGAATATCTAAATCAGTTTAGCGATTTATTATTCAGCACGTGCTTATTGTTGTAATCCACGTAAGAATGCTTAGGACGCTTTAAACGAACTATTATTTAATACTCCAGTTGCAGTTTTTGAGTAAAATGTTTACATATTCAAACCTTAATCAGCATTGCATGACCCAAAGATAGACTTTAGGAATCTCAGTATATCCTAAAGTCTTTCTATGACTGAATACAGTAAAATAGACTAAGTTAAAATATTAACATGCATGTATACTTTCAGTGACAAAAAATGAATGTGGAACATGAAGTTACACTGCTCGTTGATGAGATTCGTCGATTGGGCAGTAAAAGTAAGTCTTGTGCTGTTTTTGATCAACATCATTGTTAAGGGATAAAGTCTGAGACCACGAGTGAAAATGCTTCTTTTTACCTGTTTTCCCTATTCCAAATTATTATATTAAAATTTGAGTGAAATGTTGAATCGAAAATTATATGGTATGGTATGATCTGCTTTTCTATTAATGTCAAAGAGCATCTTATACACTAATTAAGATTTTTTTTTTTCAATGTTTTTGAAAGAAGTATTTTATTCTCACCAAGGCTGCATTTATTTGATCAAATTATTGTAAATATTATTCAAATTTAAAATAACTGTTTTCTAGTTTAATAGATTTTAAACTGTAATTTATTCCTGCGATGGCAAAGCTGAATTTTCAGCAGTCACAACTCCAGTCTTTAGTCATTTAGTTTCTATTAGTTGACATACAAATGCAGGTGTCATTGTGGTATTTGGCTCTCTATGAGATCTTTTGAGATTTGCTAACACTGATTCTATGTTGTTTTAGTGCTTTATTAAGTACATAAATGTTAATTGGATACGTTCAGGGTTGTTAACGAATGATTTAGAGTGAGCCTTGACCACTCTCACTGTCTCACAGACGCAGATGGGAAGATCAGCGTCAAATTTGGAGTCTTGTTTAATGATGACCAGTGCGCCAACCTCTTTGAAGCTCTGGTCGGAACGCTGAAAGCGGCCAAGCGAAAGAAGCTCATCGCGTTCGAAGGGGAGCTCTTACTGCAAGGAGTTCACGACAACGTTGATGTCATATTACTGCAGGACTGAATTTAACAGTCTTCTATAAACTCAAGTAAAAAGTGCAAATGTGTTTTTGACATGTCATTGCTACATTTTGATATGGAAATATACTTGAATCTAACATTTTTGTATACTGGATTGGAATATTTTTATACAGCAACTTTTTCTCTCTCTCAGGGGAGTGATCTGCAGTTCTTGAAAAGTAGCAATCTTCCCTGTTCAAACACCTCAACAGCCATATCATTAAAATATCATAACAGTTATAGTGTGCATGATCATGTTACTGGTTTTCTGGAACTGAATAAATTCATCAAACACTGTTTTCAACCTATTTGAAATGAATATCCACACGGGTTAATATCAATTTTACAGGTTATACTGTACCTCTGATGTCCTATTCTGACTGTATTGATTGTAGACTGCATAATTGCTGTCTACAGTAATCATGAGGTTGTTTCTTTGCAGTGCCATTACTGTGAGATGATTAATTTCAGGCATAGTCAATGAAGTTATCTGTGCCATTATATCTCAAATGCTGAGAAACATAAATGGTAGCATTTGTCTGCTGTATGATTTTCTGGAATTAAATGTTTAAAAAAAACAACCAAGTTCAACAAATCATCAGAACTGCTCAGTGTGATATTCTGTTTTATAAAGCTCTTGCAAAAACATCTCCACATTGTACTTGTGCTGTTCTTGTTATTTATGTATAATGTTACAGGACTCCCAATGGTGCAGTTTGTGTCATTTCAAGCTCGGGAAGACCTTAGCATGACTGGCAATAGGAAATAAATCAATGAAATCAATTAAATAGAGGGGAGTGTGTTTATAAATTTCTACTCGGTCATTATGAGGATTATGCCAGAATGACTGCAGAATAAACTTGGAAAATGTTTTTAATTTTCTTTTTTAAAGATAAATGTACGAACATTTAAAACTGACTTTAACCTTAGTGTGTATTTGGATTTCTATGTTGCTGCCTTAGTCTTATGATGGTTCATCTGCTTCTCAAATGGCTGGAGACAGTTTATTTTAAAGTGCAATAAACTCTTGTCATATAAATGCATGAACTGGAGTTAAGACTTGTATTTCACATTTCTGACTTTTTATCTTTGAATGAATGAGCCTAGTTAAAATGGACATTTAGCGATTTGATTTTTAATTTTTGAAAGGCATTTGCACCTAAAATGACTGGATAGAGTTCTTCTTTAGTATAACTTACAAGGTTCCAGGTGATACAGTTGTGAAGAACCATTTCTGGGTTCTTTAAAGCACACAAATGGTTCTCTAATGTAAAAAATGTTCTCCAATGAAATTTAGCTGGAAAAAACATTTTAGGTTCTAATTAGACCCTTGATTTTTAAGAATATCATGTCGAACAGCAAACATAAGGTTTTATCTCGTTAGATAACAACCCAAAAAGTATGTTTATCACTTGTAAAGCCATATATGGCAAAGCATTTATGACTTTAATAATTTTAGCAGCGTGTCGATTATTTGCTCGGGACTCCCTCTTAGGTCTGTGCTATTAATAACAGCTCTGGGTCTGGGTCTGGATCAGAGATGGAGGCGGGGCCAGAGGAACATTCTCTCTTCAGAGCATGAATCAAAACAAGAGAGGGACTCGCCTTCTTCATGGTGTACCTCTGCTGTCAAGATTGCCTGCACACATCTGGAGGATGATGATGATCGAACTGTAACATCTGCATCCCCCGTGCATTACAATTCGCAGTGAATTCGCCAAGCACCCTCGACATGATATCTGCAGAAATGCTCGGTGGCTGTCGCTGACAGGCTGCATTCATACTGAGCACACCATTATGCCCAACCAAAAAAGCAACAAGGGGAAGAGAAATAAACGCACGAACAGTAGCGGGGACGAGCAAGAAAATGGAGCCTCTGCGTCTGCGGTTACAGGAGGAACTGCCTCGGTGTTGATCGGAGCGACAGCGGGTCCGCCGAGCGACAATAGAAGTGGTAAGAACGTCACTTCAGTGAATGTTCTACCAAATGGTACGTTTCTCTAAACGTGCGTGCGCGTTACCTTCCTTTTAATGTTCCCTCGCTTGCAGCAACTTGTTTTGTGCGCGTGTCATCTCCATCAGAATTGTTACGACATTGCCTGGAGCTTTCCGTGTTTTCACTTATCGTCCTGCACAAGGTGGTTGCTTAGGCCTTGTTCAAGGGAAGATGCACTTGGAATAGAGTTGCGTGCGACTTGGGGAATCAGTGTTGTGTATATGTTGTGTAATGGCAGGTCATATCACCCTAATGATGTGCAGTTAAGAGTGTTTAAAAATGCATAGAATCGCGTTGGCTCTTGAGATAATGGAGGTGGTATCTATCTTTGAGTGGCAGTTATGAATAATGAAATACTTACAGCAAGGGCTGTTGAATATCACGGCCCTTTTATATTCAGTACTACAGCATGATGTTTATTTTATTATTTTTTATTACTATTTATTGACAGATAGCAAATAGATTTTAGGCAAATTGTATGAACAAAAAATAGTTAAGAAAACTTTTTGCAGGTTATTAAGTGATGCATATGCTGCAATCTGGACTGGAACCGCTTTTATGAATGGAGCCTAGCTACAGGGCTGTTCCTAAATGCGTTCAAAACGTGCTTTAATCACCTGACTCCACTCCATGTTTTCATTTTAACTTGTGAGAGAAACCCAGTCAGAGCCATTATTGAGTAAACAGAAGCATGTTTGTTGCTGTAGCCGAATTTATACAACTTTGCTTCCATTCACCAGAGAAAACACATTGACACAGTTCTGTCACTCCATACTTTACATAGTCTGGATTGAAAGGTAGTGAACAAACAGAATTTAAAAAGAAAAAGCAGCGCTGTCCAATCAAATTTGAGGAATGAAGTTCTGTTGTATAATTGTCTTTCTCTGTCTCTCATGAGACACACATTCAGACTTCATTCATAGCAGTGTTGCGTAATATTTGTTCTATTTGAGTGGGATTCGCACCCACAGAGTTATCATAAATAGAAGTGATGTATTGAATGTACTGACATTGAACATACTGCCAGTGAAGCTGATTAAATCACACAGTCTATAAATAGATGTCCGTTCATGAATTTGGTGAAGGTTTGCTTTTATTAAAATGTTTTTTGGGTTGATTTATTAATTCAGTCATTATTTTTTACATTAGCGTACAAAACATTTACCCCATGTAAAATAACAATATATATATATTTTTTATAATATAAGGCATTGTAAACTGCATTACAGATATTTTAACATATAGGAACCCAGAAATATAAATCCTCACGCTCATGTTGTTCCAAGCTCATATTTTTTTCCTGGGACACAAAAGAAGATATTAGGCAAAATAACAGCCTAAGTCACCATTCACTTTCATTGCATCTTCTTTTTACCTACAATGAAAGTGAATCACTTTAACATCTCTTTTTCTTTTCCACTGAATAAAGAAAGTCATACTGGTTTGGAACGATATGAGGGTGAGTAAATGAAATCATTTTCATTTTTAGGTGAGCTATTGCATTGCATTAAACCTAAATTAATAATCTTCACTGTGTTTGGCAGAGGCCCCATGTGCCACCCCATTAGTGTGCAGTCTGGGCCGTCCCATTGACCTTGAGAAGGACGACTACCAGCGTGTGGTGTGCAACAGTGAACTCTGCCCTTACGGCAATTGGATGCACCTGCAGTGCTTCTATGAGTGGGAGAGCAGCATCCTGGTACAGTTCAACTGCATCGGCCGGGCCCGCAGCTGGAACGAGAAGCAGTGCCGACAGAACATGTGGACCAAAAAGGGCTACGATCTGGCCTTCCGTTTCTGCTCCTGCCACTGTGGCCAGGGACACCTGAAAAAAGACACGGACTGGTACCAGGTGAAACGCATGCAGGATGAGCGCAAGAAAAAGTTGCCGGAGAAAGGGAGCGGGAAGCCCAGCTGTTCTGCCTCCGGAGGTGGCGCTTGTGGCGGAGGTGGTCCGGAAGCTGCCGATGAGCCTAAGAAAGGGAAATCATCTGCAAGCCATAAGCTAGCGCACCGTGGCTCCAGTCAGGAACTGTCTCACAGGCAATCAGCAGATTGGCAGAACTCTCAGGAGAGATGTCAGGCTGGTCCTCCCAATGCCGTCGGCGGGGTTTCCCACGGGCTCCGCTCCCCTTGCGAATCCCCCACCCAGTCCCCTCCTCCAGGCTTCTCCTTCTTCTTCCCCCAGTCCCTCAGTGGCCCGCGGAGTTCGAGGCACCTGGGTGAGTTTCTTAAGAACGCTGTTCATACGGAAGGCCACAGGAAGCATTTGCTGTCCGGAGGTGGGGTGGCACGTGGCGGGGCTCAACTTGAGCAGGGAGCCACTAACATGTGCCTCCCTCGGCTTTCTCCCGGAGACAACCCTGTGCAGTTCTTAAGGAGGCTGGATCTTTCTGAGCTGCTCACGCACGTTCCCCGCCACAAGCTTAACACCTATCATGTGCGAATGGAGGACGATGCCCAGGCCGGGCAGGGAGAGGATCTCAGGAAGTTCATCCTCTCTGCGCTTAGTGCGAGTCACTGCAATGTGGTGAACTGTGCCCTCTGCCATCACACCCTGCCCATCTTTGAGCAGTTCCCTTTAGTGGATGGAACGCTGTTCCTGAGCCCTTCACGCCATGATGAAATTGAGTATGATGTACCTTGCCATTTACAAGGTGAGCGAATTCACTATTCGCACTCAAAATGAGCTGTTTCTCATTTACTTCTCATATTTTTTTTATTAAATATTAGTGTGGAAAGTGTTATTTTATATCAGTGTCCCATAAATTGCTACAATAGTGTCCCATAAAATTTCTCAGCTCACCAGTTTTACAGAGTTAATTTGAACTTAAGTTCGGTTTAAATTAAATTTTCATTAATTTAAACAAGTTTCAGTTAATGCAAACTTCTTGAATTATTTTAAGTTTGAACATTGTTGTTGTAACGGAGCCGACGAGACGAGAGGCGTGCGGCTCCATATGCAAGCTTTTATTAATAAACATGGTCAAAAAACACAGGCAGGGTCGAACAACAGCAAACAGGTATGGCACAGGCAAGACAAAAGAGCAATCCAAAACGGGCTTGAGTCAGCCGACAGCGAACTTTATCCAGAGGGCTTGACAAGAGAGGTAATCTGTAAACGTGAGCAATAGTCCAGGCGAGGGGCAAACACAGTCCGAAAC